CCCCTCTGGGTTTCCTGTCCCTCTCCTCCTCAGAAAACGCTCCGGGACAAGGAGCTGGAGGGGCTGCAGGTGAAGATCCAGCGCCTGGAGAAGCTGTGCCGGGCRCTGCAGACGGAGCGCAACGACCTCAACAAGAAAGTGCAGGACCTGTGCGCTCACACGGAGCCGCTGGAGCCGCTCAAAGACCCCGCCCGCGACTSCTCCGAGCCCGGGGGGAGCTCTCAGAGCAGCTCCCAGGAGTGCCCGAGCTCCGGAAAAGCCACACCCARCCCGGGAGAACTGAGCACGGCAGCGCCGGGGCACAGCGGCACCGAGGAGGGCGAGTGAGCCCCGGGCAGGGCCGAGGTGGGCGCAGGGAGGGAGGGAGGGGGAGCTGGGAGCTGCTTTCACCTCCATCTGCTGCTCCTCTGCCTCTCCCGGGACAGGGCAGGGCTCAGCCCTCCTTGGGGATGTGACATTTCCTAGTTTAGGGGTTTTTTTGGAGGGTTTTTTTTAAGATTTTATATATATATATATATATATATAAATATATATATGAGATATATAAAAACGTGCAGGGCAAGGTACACTTGAACTGTGGATATCCATGAGAAGGAGAAGGGCCCTGCTCCCTGGGGGAATCCCAATCCATGGAGCCTCGATGGATCGTCCCTCGTGTCACTCTGGGCAGGCTGTCACCTCAGGAAAGCAGCTCCAGGGACAAGGGGACATCACAGCTGGGAGAATTCCAGAACATTCCCAGCGCTGGATTCTCCCTCTTCCCGAGGGCACCGAGGCCGTTCCTCTGCTCTCTGTGGGTTCTGTGGATGGAATGGGGATGAGGAGAAGCAGGAATGGGGTTCCTGGTCCTTCCCTCAGCATTTTTGCTCTTGCCAGGCCCTGCTGTCTGAACCGCCTTACGATTCACAGTTGCCTCTTTGCTGAACGCACACGTGCACACAAAGTGTATTAAACAGTTAATCCAAAGCTCGCTCTCATTCCCAAGTGTTTTCTGCATCGTTGTGCACAGGGAGAGGGGAGTGCCCACCCCTGAGCCCCTGTGC